GACTATATGATTATCTTCTGGCCAATGGGATGTCAGTAGAAAAGGTGTATGCAATTTCCAGTTTTTGAGGCTTTGATCTATTTTCTTTTTTTTGGAAACATTTTATTGTGGTTTGGGTGAAAGTTAACAGAGCAAATTAGTTTCCCATTCAATAATTTATACACATTTTGTTTTGTAACAGTAGTTGCAGTACCCTCAATGTAACAGCACTCTTCCCACACCCTCCTTGGGTTCCCCATTTCAATTTGCCCACCTTTCCTGCCCCTTCCTCCCTCCTGGACTTTGTTTCTAGGCAAATTCTACCCTTTTGGTCTTGGAGCATTGATTATTCTCAGGAGCATGTTCCCCATGGGTGGTAGTGTTCACTTTATAAGGTTGTCTATTGTTTGTCTGAAAGGGAATTTCTGGGAGTGGGTTCAGTTCCAGTTTTAGAGGGTGTCTAAACACTTCTGGTGGCGTAGTGCCTAAGGCATTTGACTGCTAACCAGAAGGCTGGTGGTTCAAACCCACCAGCCACTCCTTGGAAGGAAGATGGGGTGTGGTAGTTAAGTTTGTGTGTCAACTTGGCTGAGCCTGGTTGAGTGGCTGGGCAGCTGGATGTAGTATTCCCCATAATGAGACTGGTAATCAACTCCATGGTGGAATCTACTGTGAGCAGTTGAGTAGCTGCCTTAGGGATACAGTCTACTTTCTGTATATAAGGAGAAGCCTTGGGGAATGGTCTCTAGCTTATGGTGCACTTGAACCCTGGCATGTAGCTGTGTCATTGTTCAGCAGCCTGCCATACTCTGCCAATCCTGGGACTTTCAATGGACTTGAATTAATGACCTGTTGTATGGTTTGGTAACATCAAACTTGTGCCTTTTTACTTGTCAACTTTGGGCTTGTCTGTCTCAGCAGCCAACAGCTGTCTGAGTGAAGAAAAGCCTCTAGCTTCAGTGGGCTGGGAGCAGAAGGCAGAGCTAAAGCCCAAGGTTGAGGGGCTTTCACCCAGCCCCTAGAGCCTGACACTTTGAACTCAGATTAAAGCCTCCAAACTATAAGAGAACAAACTCCTGTTTGTTTAGCCATACCATTTGTGGTATATTCCTGTCAGAGTGGCACTAGGTAACCAGAACATGGGGTAATCTACTTCCATAGTGATACCGCCTGGGAAACCCAAGGTGGGGTCGCTATGAGTTGGATCTGACTTGACGGCAGTGAGCAAAGACCATCATCTTGGAGTTTTCTACCATTTCTATCAGACTAATAAGTCTGGTCTTTCTTATGATTTTGAATTTTGTTCTACATTTTTCTCCCCTCTGTCCAGGACCTTCTATTGTGATCCTGATCACAGTGGACAATAATGGTAGCTAGGTACCACCTAGTCCTTCTGATCTCAGGCTGGTGGACACTGCAGCTTGTTTGGTCCACTTGTTCTTTGTATTAATTATTTCCTTGAGTTTTTTATTTTCTTTACTCTTCTTTGCTATGGACAGGAAGAGACCAATAGTTGTATTTTAGATGGCTGCACACAAGCTTCTAAGATCCCACTTGCTACACAACAAAGTAGGATTAGAATATTACCTTTATGGACTGTGTTAAGCCAATTGATCTAGATGTTCCCATAGACTATGATCCTAAACCTTTGAGTCAGTTGACTCAGACTTTCAAGGTGTTTGGTTATGACTAAGAAGTTTGCATAAGTTTGCCCCTCACCTTTTAATTTCTTGATTGCTGCTTCCATGGGTGTTGATTGTTGATCCAAATAAAATGAAATCTTTGACACTTCAATCTTTTCTCCATTTATCATGATGTTGCTTATTTGTTCAGTTGTGATTATAACTTAGATTATAGCCTAGAAAACCTTATGAGGGAGTTCTTCTCTATTACATTGGGTTGTTGTGAATCTAAATTGAGCAACAGCACCTAACAGCAAAAACAAAGGAGTCCCAAACCTCCCCCCAAAATTTGGAACCACTGACTTAAAGAAGGAATAGCTGGGCCCAGGGCTATGATATCACCAGAACGCTGTCTCCTTTTCTCAGGCTGAGCTCCTCCTTCCTCGTTGTTGTTATGTGCCATTAAGTCGGCCCTACTCATAGCGACCCCTCCTTGGGTTCCCAAGGCAGTATCACTAAGAAGTTGATTGACCAACCTTCCTTCCGAGGAGTGGCTGGTGGGTCATCCATTCACTCAGGGATTGTAAATCCTACATTCATGATTTAAAAAGACAACAATCCTGGTCTTAGTTAGATTTGTGCCCCTTCCACTGTCAGGATCTTGAAACAATAAGAATTTTCTCTCTTTAGGAAGAAGAGGGGTTCTGATTTCATTTTTCAATTAGAGTTTGGGTCCAAATCGAATACCTTAACAGAAGTTCTCCTTATGGATTAGCAATACTGACCCAATAGGAATTTTTTTGTTGTTGTTGTTGCCATCAGCTATGCAATGACCTGCCCTAAAGCTAAGATTCCATCCCTGAATGTCTTAAGACATTGCTTGCATCCGACTCCAGTCAGATGGTTTAACCTCTTCAGGCCTCTGTGTCTTACCTCTGACAATAATGTGGAGAAGGGGGAGCTAGTCTCCTGCAGCTTTAACATTCTTTGAACGTGAGCAATGAAAGATGGGGAAAAAAGTTGTCCCAACCTTCGTCTATCAGTTACTATAATGAATAACCACATAATAAAGCGTTACATAATTTACTTTCAAATTATATGTACATTTTCATTAAATATTTATATTTCTTAAATATTTGATGATAATATAGAGATTTCATCAGTTAACAAACACCAGCTTCTATTATTCACCACTTATATTTTGCTTATTTCCTTTGCTTATTGTTTTCAGTTTCATTATTTTAAATATTAAATGTTGATTCTGTAAAATCCCATTTTTTTTTTAACAAAGATTATCAAGAGCAAGGTCATAAGGGTTACAAAAAATAATTTTTCAAGAAAAACTGTTCATTAACTTAGGAATTTTATTTTTAAAAATATGTATGCTTTGAATAATGGAGTGAAAGAGAAGTCAATATTTCTCCTTTTATTCTTTAAAATTAAGCTTTAAATGGAAACCCTAATAAAAGTTGCATAAATTGCTCTTAAGAATCAGGCAATCTTCACCATATATTTTCATTTTGTACACCTTATGTTTCTACTAGAATACTAATATTAAATAAAGTAAGATTTTATTTTTTTGTCTTTGAGCCTTTCAGAAATGACTACTGAAAGTTAAATAACACATGTCTTGTGTTGTACATCAAATATTACCTAGTCTTGTTTGCATATTGTGTCTACTTCTTTTTAACTTTTCATTAATTAGAGGCACCAATGCAAAATTAAATTGTTACCAAAACCCACAGTAATTTTAACCTCAATATCCAACACAATTCACGTTATCACATACTTTTAAAAGGAAAACGTTTTAGTGAACACATTCCTTGAAAAGGATTCTAATTTATTCCAGTAAGCTAATAAGTTGGTGCTTCTAGTCAAAATAAAGTTATTTTGTACTGTTCAAATTTTTAAGTCATTGTTAGTCGCCATTGAATCGATTTGGACTCACGTCATGTTCAATTTTTACATAGCGTTATTACAAAATTACACTGATAATCTGAAATCAGAAATTTCAGCCTGAATGTCTATTATTTGCCAAGCATTATGTATTTCTTTTCCTTTAATGAGTGAATAACAACAATCTTGGAATAAATAATAAGCAATTAAAATATAGAAGAAAGCCTGCTCCTGTGTTTGTATTGAGACAAACAAAACTTGATAGGAGAGTCCTATTTCAAGAGGTATGGCTGGTGATATACTATACTTGATATTTTCTTCAAACATTGCGTCCTCATCTTGACATTTATAAAAACCACTCAAGGCACCGCTTCTCAAACTTGGCTGCACAGTAGAATTTCCCAGAGACTTTTCAAAAATTCCAATGCCTGGGTCTCACCCCTGGAGATTCTGCTTTAATTGGCATGAGATGGGGCTATTCTGTCAACTATTTTCTACCCCTTAGTAATTAGCCATCTGTATGGTATTTCAACTTACACGTTTCATCAACTGTAAGGCTGTTTTGATTGGTCAGTTCTTTATGGTGAACTGAATTCTGCACAGCAGTGCTTACTGTGCAGAAAGGCGGCAATGCCTCTCTGCCTTAATCCTTTTTCCTCTCACTTCCTTACTCTGTCTCTCAGAGGAAGCTAGAGGCAGCAGCAGCAGCAGCAGCAGTTGATGATCGTGAAAAGTACCAAAGAAACCAGCTGCCTCCTTGGTATTCTTCCCACTAAGGGTTCATCTACCAGGGTGGTGTTTTTTTTTTTTTTAATATTCTTTACATCCTGCCACAACTTTATTTTTTTTCAAGAAACAAATTACAAAGTTACTGCTGAAAAAAAAAAAAAAAAAAGTAAGTGAAAAGTTTCAGCACAGCTTTTCTCTCTCTTTGGGAAAAGTCAGAAAATTCTGGAGCCAGCAGAAGCATAGTAAGTGCTTTCTTTCTTTTAAAACTACTTCTGGGGAGGGAGGAGGCTATTGTAATGGTAAATTTCACTGGGCGAGGAAGAAAAGGCTAATAATCAATCAAATATGAGGTATTCATTTGAATTTTTACCATTTTCTTGCTGTATCATAAGACTGTTTTAATTTCCTGGGTCAAATATACAGAAAAAATTTTTTTGGTGTGTGTATGTGTGAAATGCAAGCAATCTTCATAGTGACATAGAAGTTTTTTTTTCAAAAGGAGTGGAGAGATCTCCACCACTCGGGGGCTTCAGTGAGACCTGGAATTCCTGGAGGAGGATTTACTTTGAGAATCGTTAAAGTGAAAAATCCCCCTGGGTCAGCATCCTGGAGATAAGCTTGGAGCATTTTACATCCGGAAGAACTCCTTTCTGGAAACCTTTCTTTTGGCTGGCGTGTGTCATGAAGGATGGGATAACTGGCGCTGTACAAGTACTGCTTTTCTGAATCTGCTCCAGGCATTTTAAATTTAACTCGAGGGGACATGTGTTTAGCATGATGAGGACCACGGAGAACTTCCATAAGAGCAGTACCACGCTAAACCCTAAGGCAGCTCCCAAGGGAAGGTACATTTATCTGGAAGTGTTCCTGCAGGGAGGAGCTCCCTGGGGTTTTACTTTGAAAGGTGGTCTGGAGCACGGAGAACCATTAATCATCTCTAAGGTATGATTCTTTTTCCCCATATTGTTTCTTATTCAAATTGTTTCTTCAATTTCCATACTTTTGACAGATTTTGTCAAAAATGCAAAATAATGCTGAGGGTAGCCTGAATAGCTGTTTCATTCCTTTCTGATTATCTGGAAATATTTTGCATAGCTTGGTGATTGAAAGAAAAAATGTGTCTCATTTACTCTATGAAATCCTGGGAAAAATGTGCTTGTTCAATGGATAATCTTCTCTTTTTGTGAATGAAATAGTGTAAAACCCATCACCACACGATCTTTTCAGTTATAAATCGGATTAAAGATTAAAACAAGGTTAACATGGTGGCATGGTATATGCATGAATTTATTTAGATACGGCTAGGAAAATACCCACTATTTTTTCCTCAACTGAAAATATCTAGCATTTACTTTTTTTTTTTTTCTTAGAATTTGTTAATAATCTAGATAATTGATGGCTTAACTATTACTGCTTTTTTCCTACTCAGGAGAATTAAATCAGTGTTCAGTATAGTTCAAGAGCAAAACACTATTTCTGCCTATCTATCTGTACATTTAAATCAGTTTTTAAAGACAATGATCTTGGAACATGCCTCAATTCTTCATTTATCTTTTGGTATGAGTAAGCATACTTAGTGAATGAATCCTTTGTGTGCTCTAGGGTTAGTATTTTTGTGTTTCTCTTAAACTGCAGAGCTTAACATGACCTTTTGTAATATTTATTTTAAAGTTTCAGGACATTACCCAGTTAATATAACAGAGTGTAAGAGCCTTTCATACATATGCTTTACTCAAGGATAAACATGCATTTAATTTGAGTTCTGTTACCTGTTTAAAGTTATTTTTCATACCCCCAAAAGTCTATCTTTTCAGGGAGATCAAAGAGATTCTTACTGTGGATGAGCCAGTGGGAATTTATTTCCACAGCAAATCAGTCAAGAGTGTGCAGGACACCACTGCTAGCTGTTTGACTTTTCCCAAGGAAAACTAAAGATAATGTGTGTATGTGTATCAGCTAGGGAGGCTTCCAGCTATAGATAACTGAAGACCTGCTTTATGGTGGCTTAAGAAAATTGGGGTTTGTTTTTCTCATATTACAAGAAGTCTGGAGGTAGGCTGTGCAGGCACAGAGCAGAAACTCAAAAATGTCCTCAAGGAGCTCACTTGTCTCTCCATCCTTACAGTGTTGGCTTTTGTCTTCATGGTTGCATGATGGATACTGCACCTCAAGCATTGCGTCTTCATTTCAGGAATAGTTTATTTTTGTTTGGAAGGAGACACCCTCACCCTAAGACTTTTGCTTACATCTCATCAACAGAACTGTGCCACATGCCTGTCCTTAGACAGTTGCTGGCCAAGGGAAATGAGATTACCATGACTAGTTTAGGCCAATAGGATTTATCTCCTGGGTTCTCCAGTAAGGACCTAGGAATCTCTGCCTACTATTTGAAACAAAAAGGGCGGGGGGAGCTCTGTTTGCAGGAAGAAGGAAGAAATGGCTGCTGGATAGACATCTGGGAATATCTGCCACAATCATAAATACCATCTCTGCATTTTGAAAGCCTGATTGTGTGTTCAGTGTGCCTGGCGTCTAATGACAAAATATTATGTCGCTTTATATTAGAATACAGTTTGCTATCAGACAGACCTAATCTTACCATGAATAAGCCAGCCTCTCTAAACCTCTGTTTTAACTGCAGAATAGGAGCTCTGGTAACGTAGTGCCTAAGGCACTTGACTGCTAACCAGAAGACTGGTGGTTCAAACCCACCAGCCACTCCTCGGAAGGAAGGTTGGGCAATCTACTTCCGTAGTGATACTGCCTTGGAAACCCAAGGAGGGGTCGCTATGAGTCAGGTCTCATATAACAACAGCATAACAACAACAACAACACATAACAACAACAACAACAACAACATGAGTCGAGTCCAACGCAACGACACATAACAACAACAACTATCTATATATCTTAGCGGGCTGTGTACGGAAGGATTAAATGAGACCATATGGGTGGGGCATTTAGCATAGCGCCTAGTACATAGAAGGAGCCTGATATATCTTTTTTCTTTTTCTTTTCTTTACTCATCTCATTTCATTTATTTAGTTTTAAATTTTATTTTATTTTTAGTAAAAATACAAAAAAAGCTACACCATTTCAACAAATTATACATGTACAGTTTACTGACATTATTTACATTCTTCAAGTTGTGTAACCATTCTCTCTATCCTTATCCAAAGTATTCCACTTCTATTAATGTAAAATCACTGCCCACTAAGTGTCTCTTCTAACCTTTCCAGATGTTGTTGTCAATTTGATCCTACATAGATAAATCCTTGAGACAGCACAAGGCTCAAGGCAGAAATACTTTAACAATTAGGCTAAATTGTTTGGTTCAAAGCAGAGGGAAGTTTTGATCTGAGGTTTAAGGATTAAAAATTATCTCTCAGGGCAACAGTTTCAGGTAGGTGTTCACCTAGCCTCAATGGCTTCAGAAGGTCTGGATAACATTGAGAGCTGAAAACAATCTTAACAAAGATTAAAGTTGCTTTTTGTTGTTCAAGGAGACATTTGCATTAGACTACAGGTTTGGCTGCTATACAAAGATCCAGAATAAGAAATAAGAATAACTTAAAGCTGTTTTTGTTCGTTGCTGACAAGTCAATTCCAATTGATGATGACACCATGTGTTAGGGAGTAGAACTGCTCCACGGGATTTTCGTGGGAAGGATTCCCTGGGTGGTGCAAATGGTTAAGCACTGGACTACTAACCAAAAAGTTGGTGGTTCAACCCACCCTGAGGCACATCAGAAGTAAGGCTTGATGATCTGCTTCTGAAAGGTCACAGCCTTGAAAACTCTATGGAGCACAGTTTCACTGTGCAAACTTGGGGTCACCATGAGCCATAATCGACTGAGTGGCAACTAACAATAATCTTAATGGAAGCAGATTTCAGGTGTTTTCTCATGCAGCTCCAAACCACCAACCTTTAGGTTAGCAGTGGAGTGTAAACTGCTTGTGCCACCTAGGGCATAAACCAAACTGAAATATGGCTCTATGGTGTCAGAGTCAAGTTCTTTCTATCTTATGGCTTCCATTCCTGGGATGACGTCCTGTCTGCATGGTCCAAGGTGATGTGCTGCCAGAAATGCTTTCCAATCAGTGATAAAAAGGAAACAGAGGAGAGAAGACCATCTTCTTTCCCTCTAAGGTAGTAGTAGCTAAAACTGCTTTGTCCACTATGGTAGCTATTTCCATTTAAATTAAAATTAATTAACATTATTAAAATCCTTAGAAATTTAGGTAAAATAAAAATTTCAGTTACTCATGTGTGCTATCCACATCTTATGTGCCACATTGCTCCAAAACCCTTGAACATCTCCTCCCATCTTCTCTGTTGGGCAAACTCCTGTTCATGAAAGCTCCACTTCTTTCTCCCTGCAGTATTCCTGATTTTATCAAGTTGACTTAAGCCATCCCTCTTCTGTACTCCTATACCATGTACTTCTTACACTGAATTGTCGTTTTTTATTAATGTTGACTGACTTCTCAGAAGTCTGCAAGCCTCTTCAAGGCATGGACTATTTTGTTTATTTTCTTCTCCACTGTATCTAACCTGTGGAGCTCTGGTGGCATAGTGCCTAAGGCATTTGACTGCTAACCAGATGGCTGGCAGTTCAAACCCACCAGCCACTCCTTGGAAGGAAAATTGGGCAATCTACTTCCATACAGACACTGCCTTGAAAACCCAAGGAGGAGTCACTATGAGTTGGATCCGACTCCACGGCAGTGAAGTTTTTTTTTTTTTTTTTTAACATCTAACTCAAAATTTGGGTAGCAATGAAAGACAATATGTTGAGTAAATGAAAGGAAATGGACTTTGCATTTCCAGTATCTAGCACATGCCTGACACTGAGTATGTGCTTCATAACTTTTATTGAATTGATAAGAAAAAGGCAGAATGATGAACAAAGGAAAAAGTGCAGGTTAGCTATACCCTACTAACCAAATGTCCACTCTACCCCCAAGGTAGGGTGGCCCCATTGTAGGAGAACAGAAAGTATAGTACACATTGAGTCATACATATGAAAGACACGTGCACATTATATAAAGCAGTTGTAAGTTCCCAGGTTCTGGATGACAATATAATGAATGAAGTATCATTTTTCTTTAAGTACAAATGAGGTTGGAGAATGAATGGGGGAAAAGGAACTACAAAAGGGTGGCAATAAAAGAAATTATTTTAAAATTGCTTTCTTGAGATTTAATGTCCTTGAAAAGGAAAGGTGTGGTTGAGGAGAGGGAACTTCAAAAAGAAAGGGTGACATTTTTCTAAATAGTGATAATAAGTGGAAGCTCAGGTAACTCAATAGTTCAGGAAGTTGGCAGGATGATTTTATTATGACTCACTCTGTTTGTGGCTGAGAAAAGCAGTTCCACCTGCACCTCTAGTGCTCAGTGAGGATACACCTGCCACCAAGGTTCTTAAATAGAGTAACAACAATGATGACAACAAACAACAAGTTCTGGTACTTATTGAGCACTTACTATGTGCCAGGCTCTATTCTAAATTTTCCACAAGTATTAACTTATTTAATTTTTACAACTCTATGAGGAAGGCAGTATTTTATATATGAAATACAGAATTTGAGTAACTGTCGAAGTAATAATTTGTGCCATCTAAGGACTTAAACAATATAGGACTCAAACAATATAGGACTTAAACAATATAGGAGTTTATATATCTTTCACATAATAGTCTGAATCAAACTGAAAAAATGATTCTGCAGTGTCAGGGACTCAAGTTCCTTCTATCCCCTTTCTCCCATCCCTGAGACGATGCCCTGTCTACATGGTTTAAGATGTGCCACAAGATCTACTTTGAGTCAGTGAGACACAGGAAAGAGGGGGAGAGAAGCTATCCTCCAGTAAGTGACAGAGCTGGCATTTGAAGCCAGGCATTCTGGTTCCAGAGTCCATGCACTTAACTCACTACACCATTT